AGCCTGGTTCACATTCGACGCAACGCTGATGCTGCGGGACGTTAAGGCCGATTCATACTTCATTTCGCATGACTTTCCCGTACGCGAAGTAGTTAAGCTCAGATCAACTTTTTCGCGACGCGGTGTGTTTCCCGTACGCGAAAAAGGCATGCAGCAGCCGGCATGCAGCAGCCGGTGCGATGTTCAATGTCGATGCGACGATGCTTTGCAGATTTGGCGCGAAGTTCAATGCAGGTGGGTACGTCACCATGGCAATAATAATAATAATAATAATCAACGCAATAAATAGAGTAAGCTGCGCACTCAGTACAAACACCATTAGCAAAACTTGTTTTCATGTAAATAACTAAGCTTGTTCCTATGTATCTTCTGTTGCAAACCATCTTGTTCAGAATAGTGATTGTCGTTCTAGTTATACTGATGATTGCTTTTCTGTTTGGTCTCGTTCACGTAGTCAAAGGTATCTGCATGTATTGGAGTCTATCTACATTTTTACCAACAAGCCGATTTTGTGTAGGCAGAAAAAGAATTTGTTTACGTTGAAATTGTTTGTGAATTTAGATCAGTAGTTCTCGTTTGTGGTTACTTTCTAGTGGTGAATTTATCGCATCTGTTGTCACCTGATATCGTTGATTGATATAATGTTTCTTTCAGCTCTCATTTTCTCGCACTAGTTAGGGTCTAAATTATTACTTGCATTGTGCGTATATATATTGAGTTTAGAGTTAGTTTTGATTTGCCAGCAATCCTCTGATGAGATGGCAACGAAAACGTTGAGGAACAAGCTTAGTTATTTACATGAAAACAAGTTTTGCTAATGGTGTTTGTACTGAGTGCGCAGCTTACTCTATTTATTGCGTTGATTACATTTTTATCTCCACGTAAGCTTAAAGGGGAAGTTAAGGCAAAAATTAAAATTTCACCAGTTGTAGTCTTCGGGGTGCTGAGTCGAATGGTCTTGGTCCGAGGAAGCTGAGACGCTCCCTTCCTACTTAAATCCCAATCGAACTCGCGCACTTCCACCGAAACTGGGTGACTGCGCCCTACGAGATGGGGATTTGTATGCAAAATGTCACTAAAAGCGCCATTTCGTTCTTATAAAAGCACGGATGACCGCGATTGGCCCATATGTTGTAGTCTTTGGGACGCTGAGTCGACTGGTTTTGGTCCGAAAAGGCTGCGATGCGGCGTTCCTCCTTTATTCCCAATCGAACATGGTTGAAGAAGCGGTCACGTGCTCCTGCGTACACCAGGTCACCGTGCCTGCAGGGTACAACTTACTAGCCTGTTTGACCTTTTTTGGGTGCAGTCCTGTCACTCGAGTTGAACCCGAGTTGAACCTTGGTGTGAAAGTTGTCACCTGCTGGCGTGGTGACAAGGTGATTTGGGCACCCAGGACCACGTGACCGCTTCTTCAACCGTGTTCGATTGGGAATAAAGGAGGAACGCTGCATCGCAGCCTTTTCGGACCAAAACCAGTCGACTCAGCATCCCAAAGACTACAACATATGGGCCAATCGCGGTCATCCGTGCTTTTATAAGAACGAAATGGCGCTTTTAGTGACATTTTGCATACAAATCCCCATCTCGTAGGGCGCAGTCACCCAGTTTCGGTGGAAGTGCGCGAGTTCGATTGGGATTCAAGTAGGAAGGGAGCGTCTCAGCTTCCTCGGACCAAGACCATTCGACTCAGCACCCCGAAGACTACAACTGGTGAAATTTTAATTTTTGCCTTAACTTCCCCTTTAATAATAATAATAATAATAATAATAATTAAAAAGCTTCCGTGGAGATAAAAATGTAATCAACGCAATAAATAGAGTAAGCTGCGCACTCAGTACAAACACCACAAGCAAAACTTGTTTTCATGTAAATAAAGAAGCTTGTTCCTAAACGTTTTCGTCGCCATCTCATCAGAGGATTACTGGCAAATCAACAATAGCTCTTAACTCAATATACGCACAATGCAAGTAATAATTTAGACCCTAACTAGCGCGATAAAATGAGAGCTGAAAGAAACATTACACCATTCAACGATATCAGGTGACAACAGATGCGATAAATTCACCACTAGAAAGTTACCATGCAACCAGAAACGAGAACTACTGATCTAAATTCACAAACAATTTCAACGTAAACAAATTCTTTTTCTGCCTACACAAAATCGGCTTGGTGGTAAAAATGTAGATAGACTCCAATACACGCAAATACCTTTGACTACGTGAACGAGACCAAACAGAAAAGCAATCATCAGCATAACTAGAACGACAATCACTATTCTGAACAAGATGGTTGGCAACAGAAGATTCATACACCCTAACAACGCTACTAGAACCAGTACATACTTTTGAATTACGTGACAATGAAACCGACCTGACATTCCTTGCCGCTACTGCCAATCCAGACGAGGCCGATGTAGATGTCAGTACCAAAGGCACATCCGTTACTGGCACTGCCTGCTGCGATGATGCTCCCTTTGACGTTCCAATGGCTGTTGATGTTGATGAAGAGGAGGAGGGAGATGAGGAAGACGCTGACGACGACGATGACGACAACGACGGAGACGATAAAGACTCTGCTAACCTCGCCCTAGAGCGAGTCACTGGTCCCGCAGACACACCATCCGTTGGTTTCTTCGGTGGCCGGCCACGCTTTTTGCCACCGGAGGTGGACACACCGGATGACGGTACCAAGGAAGTCAAAGAAGCCGAAACCGCAGATACCAACGATGATGACGGGATAGAAGGAAGAGACGGTAAAGACGAAGGCAATGACGAACAAGCCGATGCCGACGAAGAAGACAACGACACCCCAGTTGGTTCCGTCCCCAGCGAGGGTGCACCTCCAGTCGCAGTACCAATCTTTGGGGGACGACCTCGTCTAGGCCTTGACGACCGTGCCTCAACAGGCATAACGTGAAGAGGCACATGCTGGTGGATCCGTGCCTCCAGGTGCTGAAGGGTCCTACCCACATACCGGCTCTCACATTGCCGGCACTCGAAGTTGTAAATAAGATGTGATAATTTAAGAGTGGGTAGGACATCCTTCTTCACCATGAAGGCACGAGCTGTTGTGTAGACGAACCGGACACTAACATTACGAAAGTTCGATTCTACAGCTGACTTAACTCGACGTTGCATGGTACGGCAAACAGCTTCACCCTTCCAAGGCAAACGAAGATACACCGGAGTGGCCTCGGAGGACACTTCCTTCGTTCCAACCAGTGTACTAACTACGACATATTTAGATATCATATATTCCGGGTACCCATTTAAACGAAACAAAGTGCGTAGCCGCTCCAACTCCTCATCCAACTTTGAAGGCGAACATAATCGACGAGCACTATCCACTAGATTACGAACCGTTGAATGGTGTAATGTTTCTTTCAGCTCTCATTTTATCGCGCTAGTTAGGGTCTAAATTATTACTTGCATTGTGCGTATATTGAGTTAAGAGCTATTGTTGATTTGCCAGTAATCCTCTGATGAGATGGCGACGAAAACGTTTAGGAACAAGCTTCTTTATTTACATGAAAACAAGTTTTGCTAATGGTGTTTGTACTGAGTGCGCAGCTTACTCTATTTATTGCGTTGAATAATAACTTACTAATAAGTATATGTTATCGCATGGTTGCAAGGGCCTTATGGCATATTATTGCCCCGAGAGGTTAGCCCGAGGGCCGTAGGCCCGAGGGCTAACCTCGAGGGGCAATAATATGCCATAAGGCCCGCAGCAACCATGGGATAACAAATTTATCACATGGCCCACAGAGCAGACCATTGGGCTGCTGTTGAAATTAGCCCAAATGCCAACACATTATGACCACAATGTATATTGATGTGCTATCATTATCAAAACAGGAAAAATGAAGATATTTCTCCTACACCCTAACAAAAAGTCTTCTACAGGCCATCAGAGAGTATACAGTACTGAAAGACGGAGACAGAAAACAAGTGCCGGCACCGCATCGTCATAGCAATAGACATGGCAACGATAATAGAATACAGCAGAATCATAATTTCAATTGAAAAATTAAGAGTGCTACCACAAAGAGTTTCTTCATGTTTACATGTGTATCAGGAAGTTGTCAAATACAGTACTGCAACAAGTGCAAGTATTTGACGACTCCCTGGTGTGTAATTCTGAGGACAATTTTTCTTCTTTTTTTTCAGCTCCAGATAGCTGTATTTTTCATTGCAAAACATTCCTGAATTGTTGTGTTTGTTGTTCAAGCAAAGGTGAGATGAGCCTGGTAAGAGTTTTGCGTGGCACATGAAGACCACACACAGGCAGTGACTTTGCGAGGATTTGAAAACGCACGACGCTGAGTTGAATTTGTGTTATTTCAAATAATTGTTTGTGATCACAGTACCACTTCGAGCAGAACTGAATCTTATCCACAAGCTTACCGACGGTCAGGCTGCCAACATGACTGAACAAATGATCCCTGCAAGCACCACACGGCAGACGTCCGAGGCCATGTCCATTGCCGGGATGTCCATCTCCAAAAAGAATTCCATGTTCGTCTCAATGCTACACGTACACTGCGACTCGTCGTAGAGTCGTACAGTCTACAGAGTCGTCGTACGATCGTAGTCACGCGATCACTGAAATAAACTATTTTTTGCGGGCAATATCGCATATTATTGCCCGCGGCGCGAAAGGTGCTGATTCGCTGGAGTACGGGCAACAATCACGTGCCATGTGATAATAATAATAATAATAATAATAATAATAATGAAGCTGCGTGAAGCGTCCTTCAAAATTTTGAAATAATAATAATAATAATAATAATAATAATACGATCACCACGAAGTAGTGGTTGCGACTTCGGCGAAGATTTGTAAGAAAGGGTTTGCTCTCCACACCAGGGAGTGGTGCTTTCTTGCAGGTTTGCCGAGTCGAAGGTTCGATGGACTTCTCGTGTGCTCTGGATGGCAGTCCTGAGTCAGTCAAGTGTCAAGTAAAGTCGGCGGAATAGCGCGAGCTCCGGTGTGCAGTCCGTGCGCCAGGCCACTGAGTGGGCCGTTTTCATTTTCCTGGGTCCGATCCCGCGGGAAAAAGTCTGCACAAAACTGTGTTGGTGAAGATGATGACGACAATGGCAGTTGGGGGAGAAATTTGGCAATTGTTTTGGCCTTTCTCGCGGCCTGTCTTCGCTCCTTTGCCTTTGCAGCAATGGAAGATGATGAGTTCAATGTTGTGCTTTGACGCCGAGTAGAAGATTTGAATCGCAAACGCCATCTTGGCCTTTATTTATGGAAGAAACTGCTCTCCCCGATTTGCTGGTTTCGCCGACTGGCATCGAGAAGTAGACGAGCTGCGCTTTCCAAGAGCCGCGGACACCAAGTTCTCATGGCGGATCTTAGTAAGTACATATTGTTGTGTAGTGAGATGATAATGGTTTGAGCATTCCTGCCTGGAATAACCGATGGCACTAAGTGGAATCTCAAAATTGTTTTTTTAGTATTTTTACGAGCACAAGTGTTGCCTTGTTGAAAATAGCACAACAAGAAGAAAGAAGCATCCAAAGGAATACGATGTCATAAATAAATGTGTTCTCTTCCCGTTTAGTGTGCCTGTGCTTAGGATGGTACTGTTGAGGAATCCGAAAGTGCGAAATTTGTATGTCTTTATACTCTGTATATTGAAAATTTTGCATGACATTTTAGTGGGTATGGACTTAATGTTGTATTCTCTTGAGATGTACCCTCGTTGCTGCTGCTGCATGGCTGCGGATGGACATGCTGACCTTAATTGCCATGAAAGCTTCTCTTGGTGTCATTGTAATAATATATTCTTTGTCAATATTATCGATTGAAACGAACCGAATGCTGTCTCGTTTCATGTACGCCGCTGACGCAGCTCCACTGCATTCATATTTTGGTGGCCAAGAGTCCATAGCCCCAAGAGCATGCAACTTTGCACGAGGGGTCTGAAGGGGCTTGCTGCCCACATTACGTAGCGACAAACTGGGGTACCGGCTGGGGCAGTGCGTCAACGATCTGCTGTGGTTTCCAGATTCAAAGTGCGCTTTTTCTCATCAGAGCCTTAGGAAGGTTTGTGCGCATGGTGTATCGCATGCAGACACTGCCTCGAACCTGCTGTGTTTCAGTGTGTAACCGATCCACCAGGGGTTAATAATCCGGGTTACGTCCTCTTGGCAGAACTACCGGCAGTGATGCCCAGCCATGCCAACATTCGAAAGCGCGATTCATGATAACTATCACTTCTGCGACGCAATGCGCGACGATGCGATTGAGAAATTTTTCTGCAAATTGTTGCAGTGAGTGCTGCTTCACTGGAACCAAAATATGGTTCAAGTGAAGCAGCACCCACTGCAATTATACTAATAGGGACAACCAAATCCACTTCCATGGAGTTCAGTGTATTATCTGTGTAACATTGGAAAAGTGTAGTATATGAAGAGCGGAGCACTTTTTTCCATTGAATTACTTTCTGTGTTTCATGCATTATTCCTACTGTCGTTAAAAACTTAAAATACTGCCTTATCTTGTGCGATCTGTGTGTCTTCTCAGGTAGATCGTGCTCCAACGCGTCTTGGCATTGTGTGAGAACAGCACGAAGAGGACCTTGGGTATTAACGCGTCTTGGTATTGTGTGAAAACAGCACGAAGAGGATCTTGGGTATTGCAGCCTTTCCGCAGAAGGAGAATGACTCGCTTCTTTGTGCTAGTGTGCAAACATCCATGTGTTCTCCCAGTACTGCTGTTAGCTCAGCCAGAGGATTATCGCAGATCTCAATGTGACAAGCGATCAGCTGTAATAGCTTTGTTGTGAATGCTTGCACTGCTGTCAACTATTATCCATTCTAGCTGTGCCTCGTAGCACTTCTTGCAGAAGATATCATTCTCTGCTATTGTCATGTTCTTACTCCTTGGAACTGCTGAGACCGTTTCATAGTGGGGACACTTCATCTCTTCCTGTTTGTCCATAACTGTCTTACATGTGCTGCAATGCCGCCTATATTGGCTCGGCGTGCACTTTTGAGCTCGTCCGCTGCGTTCCGCTTCATACACTTCTGTAGTAACGCAATGAAGATTCTCATTGACACTCCTTTACACGGCCAGCGTATGTGGATATTAGTCTGTAGGTGGCTGCAATTTGGGTTTTTGTCTTTCGCCGTTCACTATTTTACCAAAATATTCCAATATTCTGCATTTGTCGGATGTGTGCACTGGTGTCCAGACGAGTTGCTTGGCGTAACTCGCAGACAGGAATGCATACACGCCCAGGGTGTAGCTGAGTGGCATTATTACACCGTCCTGATGTGTTCATTGTGAGTGCTACATGTTTCCAGCTGTCCTCCATATACATGTAAATAGCGAGAAAAACAGAGGTTAGAAAATTGGTCGGTGTGGTGTTATTTGGTCTTGGACACCGGCGAGAGACCACATACTAAAAGACTACGGCTTGTTCTTCTGGATGTTGCAGTGGGTGTTACTACGCGTGCCTGGAATACTTGACGGCACTAAACTAAAGTCCTGCGTAAAGAAAAATTCAAATTTCGACAGTCGGAGAAGACGTGATGCTGCATGGGACAGAAGCACCCCGCGAGAAAACGTTCGAAACTGAGGACAGAAGTTTGCCTTATCCGGCGATGGACGGCCTGTCAGGTCTGAACTCGAACGAAAAAGGGCCTTGTAAGGCCCACCTTGCAATGACTAGAAACTAACAATTCTCAAGAAATAGCTCAAAAAGTTCAAAGTCCACTGACTCTGGAAAATAAAAAACACGGATAGAGTGCGATATTTTGAATCTGGCGCACGGACTGTGGAGAGCAAACCCTTTCTTAGGCGGTGTTTACATGAGGCGTTTCAACCCGGGTTGAGTTCGACCCGGGTCAGATTTCAACCCGCCATGTGCATAAAATGAATTGCGCGTTTACATGACGCATTGCGCTCGACCCGGGTTGAAATTTCGCCCCGGGTTGATTTCAACCCTCCCCCCAAGGGGAGGGTTGAAATCAACCCGGGTCAAGAAAATCGTACAAACGTACTGCTGTGCGTATCTCGCGCCAGGTTTGAACGGCACTGCAGATGCAAATTTCGCGCGAACGGATTCACGTGACCATACAGGACTGTAGATTGTGTAGAAGTAAAAAGTGGACTTTTGGCGGCATATCAGTATTTGACCCGGGTCAACTGTCTTCATGTAAACGCTCACCTCTTTTGTCTATCGTACAGACTTTCAACCCGGGCTGAACTCGACCCGGGTTGAAATTTCTCATGTAAACACAGCCTTAATAATAATAATATCTTTATTAACCAACGCATATGGCCGATTGGTTTGCAGGCCTGCCTGCGAATCATGAGGTCCCGAGTTCGAGACCCGCGCTGGTAGCAGGGAGCGTGTAAAGACTTTTTACGTGAGTAAAGACTTTTTACGCGTGGTGAACTGCGCCGACACCCACGGTCAACTGGGTACTCACAGCTTTTTTTTTTTTTTTAACTTGGTAAACCGGCCTCTTGTACGGGCAGAATTAAGTAACACAGTGATACAATAAAAACAAGTACCAGTAGTTACATACATGGACCATACGAGAAAAAGCAGTGATGACGAGGCATAAACAAGTGTCTAGTGCTGTATGGCAGCTTCCGAGACAGCGAGTCGAGCGGATGACTCAGCCACCTCCGGGTGCGAATACAGCCGTCGTGCACCACGCAGGCAAGCCACGCCTGCACGGAGAAGGGCGAAGCTGAACCTGCAGCGGATCCATGCCATCACTGCAGAGTATGGCTCACCAGATTTGTCGGAGACCATTGCAGCTATTCTCTTGAGGAGAGCGGCAGCAGCTCGACCAGTACCACCAGTTGCAGCGAAAACCACAGGGATGAAGGTTCCACGCTCGACCTCCTTGACGCGCTGTTCGTATCGCCTCCGTTTTTCACGTTCATGACGCTGGTAGCAAGCGGTGATGGAAGAGGATCGATTTGAGGGAGCAAAGGGGTTGAAAACCCGAATATCGAGAAAGACTCTCTCAAACCGACCTCCCCAAACACCACTCGCCGCAACATCAAGTCGAGCCTGGTCTTCTGTGGAGGCAGTCTTGTAGCGGAGCTGCTCACCAGAGAGCGGTTCGCTCGGAGTGAGGGTAACAAGGATGCAGTTTACAGGGTTATGGGCCGTTACACGCCCGATTGGTTGAGAGACTCACCTACTCTCCCCTGACTCACTTGTGAGGTCTGCATTCGCCACTCAGGTGTGCAAGGCATAGGCATAGTGGTGGCCTGCGGAAGCGAAGGCTAGTTTGTGTGTTTCTGAACATTCAAGCGATGCCAACGCGAATCCCGCGAATTATTATTATTATTATTAGGATGACCCAGAGGCTTGTCGCCTATCAAGGGGTTCACCGCTTTGAAATCGTGCGGTTTGGTACAACTTTTACAAGTTTATAGGCAACTCTTGACCTTTGTACAACTTTGCTGTAGAAAAGGTCAATATCGTACGCCAAATCGCTTGTCGCATCGCAAAAGTTGACCCAGTAGCGGCAGTTGCGTGGGCTGCGAGATGGCTGCGATTTGGGAATTTCCCGGTTTCGCGGCCGCAAGCCAAGCAAAAACAAATTATTATTATTATTATTATTATTATTATTATTATTATAATTATAGCTATGAATAGGATGAAGGCCGCAGACATCACGCAACTACGTTACTTGTTTGACATGTATTACTGTGTATTTTATAACAAAAATATTATTGAAAACCCAGAATCGATTTTCTCGTTCCTATCATCAGTGGGAAAAACGGAAACACAAGTGCAATAAAACCACTAGAGGAAACGCAAAAAAGGTAACACGATTACATAACCAAAGGCGAGAGGGCACTGAACGAAGTGTCAACCTACGAATACAACTTCAGTGCAACAACGTGCTCTTTCTGCTTACTTTGAAGTACACAAAACAGGCTTATGAATACGTATACAAACTGCCTCAAGGACTTTCAACTGTTGGACATAACGCGCACGACACAGTACAGAAAGATGAGAGTCATCATACACACCAAGACAGTCAGGACGAGATAACAAGTGTAGATACACAGCTGACTTCTTACGATCAACACATTCATCCGCCTCATCTCGCTCCTTCCCACCCGACTCCTCCTCGTCCATCTCATCGTCCTCTTCCTCGCTCCGCTCGTCATCCTCACGATCATCATCACCACCATCATCTGCCTCGTCCTCTGTCTCTTCACCGACTGTTTCGTCATCCAATTCCTCTTCCATCCTCTGATCATCTGTCTCATCCTCCGTTTCAGTACAGACCACTTGTCTCCCATTTGCTAGCTGCTCGTCCCGTGAGTTGTTCCTCCAGATCCGCTTCACTCACTGACTCATGATACTGCTCGAGCCTCCTCCTGTTGGTACTGTCCACAACGCGCGGTCCTTGGCCGTTTCTGGCATAGATCTCTGTGGAGTAGTTTGCTGTTGCCCTCCGAGGTCTCTGGATTAATGTGGGCAGCGTGGCAATTCGTGTGAGAGTTGGTGATGCCAGCACGAGTGTAGGTGGGTCCACCCCAGCCCCCGCCACAAGAAGAGCCGGTGGCGGTTCTGGTGGTGGCAAGGGCGACGGTGGTGCTGCTGGAGTTGGCAACTTGGGCAGCCTAGCTCTCCCACACGGCACTGCATTCTGTGTTGGCTCAGTCTGTACCACTGGCACAGGGGTGGTTTGTATACGTATTCATAAGCCTGTTTTGTGAAAGCAGAAAGAGCACGTTGTTGCACTGAAGTTGTATTCGTAGGTTGACACTTCGTTCAGCGCCTTCTCGCCTTTGGTTATGTAATCTTGTTACCTTTTTTTGCGTTTCCTCTAGTGGTTTTATTGCACTTGTATCTTGATGTTATTTCTAACACCTTTCTATTTACAGTACTTAACTTCAGTTTCTTTGGTTGTATCTTTAGTTCCGTTTTTCCCACTGATGATAGGAACGAGAAAATCGATTCTGGGTTTTCAATAATATTTTTGTTATAAAATACACAGTAATACATGTCAAACAAGTAACGTAGTTGCGTGATGTCTGCGGCCTTCATCCTATTCATAGCTATATTTTAAAAAATATTACTTGAAGTATCTCCACGTAGGTTATTTGTATAATTATATTATTATTATTGCTTTAAAGTATGCATTCCAAAATGTGATAAAACTTACAAGCAACCAGCCCTTCCACTGACGATAGTGACATGAAAATCAGGGAGTCGTAAAATACCGGTATTTTACGACTCCCTGATGAAAATCGATTCTGGAAACCATTTGACTTCGTTGGTGCATGGTGATGACGGCAGAGTTAGTTCTATTTATTGCTTGATTAAAATTATTATTTGAACAAACGGCGAGGAGACAACAATTTGATAACCGCAATCAGTAATACAAGCTGGATCGACATTTGTGTACACTGTATTCATGTATTGTAAAACTGTGAAGACAATGTGCAATAAAACGATGAAATGTGAAGAAATTGTGTAGAGAAAAAAAGGGATTCAAACAAGTTTTCGTACAACACTCGTCAGGAATCTTCGTTGTACTAAAGGACACTGAAAACAAAATTGAACTATTATAGAAAATCTAAGTTAGAGAAATAACACTAAGAACAACAGCAGTGAAATTTACAAGTGTGAATTTTAACAATGAAAGCGAGAGCAATAACGAATGTGTGTACTAACACTAAACTTGCAACTGAAAAGTGAACAAAGAAGAGAAAGAAAGAAGGAAGGACAAAGTGATAACAAATAACAGCAGTACATTACACCTAGAACATTAACGGCCAAGCTTGGCCGCACCAAACATGTCACTTTACTTGAACAATTTCAACCCAATTATACTATCTTTCTGGACACACAAATTAGGCTTATACAGACGCTGACAGATGGCTTCCAAAACCTTTAACTGTAGTCCATAACCATGACGACCACGGCACAATACAGTGAATGAAGAGTCGGAATACGAATTGCAACAATCAGGACTAGCCAACAGATGATTGTACACTGAAGACTTGCTACCACGAAACCTACGCACAACACTAACATTCTCACCGGCACTCTCACGATCACTACAATCGTCGCTCTCCGACTCATTGCTCCCTTCACCGTCCGTCCCATCATCTGCTTCCTCTGCACTCTCTCTGTTATCCCGCCTGACATGGTCCATTGAACGGGACTCGGCCGT